TACTTTAGAAAAAAAACGTTGGTACGTAGTCTTGAGTAGCAACCGTGATAAAAGGCTGGATATTTTGTGGGACGATTCTTTTACATGTTGAAATAGCACAGCACAGAACACCTCTAATGTGCGAAGGGTGAAGTCAGGTATTCCCGGTGTAGTTTTCGCGTGTGGAGATGTAGTGACCCCAATTCGTGTGAACGACGCATGCCTAACACGGCTGCTAGCATGTGCGTACGCACTAGTGACTGCCTACCCCGGTCTGGCGAAGCACCTTCAGGACAGACTCATACAAATACCGCTCTCTCTGGACGCTAATGTGACTGTCACGATCACATACTTTGGGCCCGGCTTCTCGCGTCCGGGCACACACCCCTCCGACAGTCAACTTTATCCTACCTATTCCCCACTACTTCTTTAAAGAATAAGTGATTTCTTGCGCCTAGCGTCTCATTTCTTCTCTTCCCACACGGAACCTGAAGCCTGAAGATCGCATTGGCAGGGGTTTTCTCTTTTAACGTGACCCACTGCGATAGGGACAGTTGAGAGGGTCAAACAAGTCTGAAATAGCCCTACTAGTTTTCCTCGTCTTCGTCTCGACAGCACCGTGGATGCTAAACTGAATAATTTATCATTCATTTTTCGATTGGGAAAGAGGCACACAAGCGGACGACGATCGAAACGGGAGGTACCGACTGCCGTAATACAGAAATGGTGGCATTAGGTGCTTTATGGGCTGGCTAAACGAGTGTTATATAAGTGCTTTCGGGAAGCAAAACGATCAGTCGTACTCTCTCAGATTACTTAAATACACCAATAAAGCGTAAAAGCACTAGCGCGCAAAGTACGACGTGCAAAAAATGAAAACCGGGGACATTGGTTAGATAGTCCGGGTGAAGTGGTCCCAACACTTGTAACCGACGACAGTGATAGCTGCGACCCTAAGGGTAAACCTCTTTCTGAAACATAACCCGAACCCAAGCCATAAAACTAACCGCTAAACCTAGCCAAATGCTAGTCCTAATGGTAAAACTCAAGGGACGCGTAGGGTAAACCTACTAAAAGACCATATATCCAATCGCTACCCGCTGGCGCCTGACGTTTCGAATTCACACTCGAATTCATCATCAGTGAGTGAATCTGATACTGTGGACAAGTATTGGCTCCCGCATGGGATTGAACTTGGTGTGGCAGTCGCCCTGGCTACGTCTCAGCGCCGAAAACGGAGAAGGGCGATTATTACGCATGCTGATGGACTGCGGTCTAAAAATCTATGACCCACGCGGTTGTCAACCCTTCATGAGGATCTCTGTCTAGTCTAACTTGACTGTGCAGCTGGGGCCCGTCAACTATATTTCAAACTACTTCCCAGAATTCCCTTTTTCGACTGTTTCAACCTCTATAGCTATTAATTCTAGCCATGCACTCCCTTTCAGGTCTCTAGACCTAATCTCCAAGTAGCAGACGCAATTCGTTCTCGTCACTCCTGCTTGACTTTGAACTTCTGCGCGATCACAGATGATAGAAAGTGAACGTATATGGTTCGGCTGGTAAAGAGCCAAGTTCTGCGTCCAACTGGAGCCGAAATAATACCTGGGCCAATGACGGTAGTTAGTCGTGTATAGTCGTTCCAGCTTCGTTAGTCTTTGTAGGTGATACTTCGGTAAGCAGGATATGAGAACAGTAACAACCCGCAATGCAGGTTCCTTTACGCCAAATTCCGGAGAAAACAGGGTTCAGTTTATGGTCAGGGTTACTTTTAGATCAATATTGGGACTAAAATTGGCCGTTAAAGTAAGTTAGGTTTAAGTCTAAGACTTGGATTTGGGGCAGAGTTATGACTAGGTTGAAGTGGAACCGACGAAGACAAGGGAGACCAGAATGGCCACTTTTGGCTTGTTAGCCGTCATCAATCTAGGGGTGGCGACTTCCGAGATTCGAACCCGGGACTTTGATCATAGAGTACAACGCTCTACCATTACACAACGGGTTTTTGTCGGCTGCGATATGGAATACGATGAATGGATTGGGTATGAATGGTTGATTATGGCTAATGAGCCAGCAATGGCCATTCCGGTCTCCCTTGTCTTTATCAGTTGCACTTCATCGTATATTAAAAAGTTGCTCTACAACTGCCTGTAAGGGCCCTAGATTGAACTCCAAGGCAAAACGGGCCGAGCATGTTCCGCAACCAGAGCAGTGAGCGCTCTACCATTCCTCATGATTAGGTGTCCGGCCTAGGTTTATGTTAGGTCTAGCGTTAGGACACGGGCATATTTATCCTTCCTGGAATTATGCTCAGAGACCAGTTTATTACCTGGGAGGGAGGAAGGGAGGTGAGCTTATTCCCCTTTCCTGTTTAGGGGTCCAAATAAATAATCCTTACCGGTACTTGCCGGAAAAAAAAACAGGAACCAATAGGCCAATGCGCAAGTTACGTATGAATTCATGAAATATAGGTGGTAGTTGATCTGAAAAGATGGAAACTGAGGTTGTAAGCCCAGTTCATAGAGGACTACAGAAGACGAGCCCCATGACAGGTGACTGCTCATTTACAGAAAGAGTCAAACTGCCGCAGGCTGCGGTTGGGCAAGAGAATAATTAACCCCTCCCCCTCCCTCGTATTACAGTTCGTCTAACGCTGAAGTCTGGGGGGGGCGTATCTATGTCCCTGTATTTAACCCTCAAAGACCTAACCGCTGGAATTTGGCGCAAGATCACCTGTAATAGGGGGAATGGGTATAGTAGTTCCCGTAATAGAGGGACTTTCATCGATCGTGTCATGGAACACACTCATGGCGTTGTCTGCACACCCCAAGCCCTGCCAGTAGCCGCACAACGGCTAGGCAACCGACAGAACAACGACCCTGTAGCTGGCGTGTTGGAATTGTAACCAACAGGTCGCAGTTCCAAGCCTCCGATGAGACACTACCTCGGGTTGGGTATGCTTGGCTGATGTCAGCTTGTAAGCCAGAACTGACCATTTCAGTCTTCTTTGTTTTTTTTCAGTACTGTCATTCTATTCTGTTCTATCAAGACAATTGGCCAGGAGGGAAGTGTGAGTGGGGTGTACGTCAAAGAGAAATCCGAGCGCACTACTGCTTCAACAATCAAGGAGAAGGAGAGAGAGACAGATGACCCAGGAATGACAGCAACTCACTTGTGACTGATGATCGACATTGACGTCGGGATTGTTGAGAAGGAGGGTAGCGGCACTGACATCGTCCTTGCGCGCAGCCACATGGAGGGCGGGCAGGCCACCACGGCTTCTGGTGTCGCGTTCGAGGAGAGTGGCCACCACGCGATCGTGGCCCTGTTGGAGAGCCACTGCCAGGGGTGTGAAGCCGTCCTGGAAAAGTGAGAGGGGCACAGGGTGGGGTCGTTTTATGCATTTTGCTTTCAGGAGCGCGGGAACGGAAACACAAACTGCGTAAAGCAACTGGGTTTCGATCTAAGTGGACAGTGTATGTGTGTATGTGCTCGTTGTTGGAC